CATAAATATTTGCTTGACTTGCTCCAGCACTGATATGGAAGGAGTTCTTTTTCACTCAAAGTTCTTGTTAACTCATTTTAAAACACTTAATTCTGGTTTATACTGCCTGACATTAATCTAAATAGACTGAGAGGTTGGTGCAAGTACGGAATTATTCCGTGTCTGAGTCTTAATTTTTTCTCCACTAGTCCAGCTGTCTTTATGTGCTCAGTTTGTTGCTCTGAAATGCTGAGTGGGACATTTTAGACAAGTGGTTTTCTGGCCTTCCAATAAACAGCTGACATTACATAATCCTGTTTGTTGTCAAGGGTTGTTCATCGGCGGTGTTGACAGTGACCGTCGATAACTAATTGATTATGTTCACTGTAGTAGGAACCTAGCGTGCTGTGAGTTAGTGTATGAAGTTGAGGTTGGTTCTTCACCAAACAGCCCTAAAACCACAGTCCACAGGCCCGAAAAGGTTGGAGACCCTGCGCCAGATAACCTGCTGCTACAGGGAACTACTAAGATGTCACAGAAAATTGATTAATTTTTTTTTTCTTGATTTTGATCAGAAACTGAAAAAAAATAAATCTTTGAGAAGCTGGAACCGCCAATGTTTGGCACTTTTGCTTGAAAGTTAAATCACAGCTAAGCAGGACTAATGTTACCATTATTGTTGTTACTCTATTTTAGGTTTCTTACACTTAAAGTAAAGTGATAAAAAAATAAATAAAAAAAACTCTTTTACATGATGAAGTGCTGAGGATGAATTAAGCAGTCTCACTGTCTGAGTGAAGAAGCTGCGGCGGAAGCTTCTGTACCTCTCTCCAGATGGCAGCAGTGAACAGGCTGTCCACCCTGCTGCCATCAAGGTGTGTGAGGACTGAGTGGAGGGCAGTAGAGATGTTCATTCTGAATGTAAACTGGTGAGGGTCCAGGCTGACAGGGATGTTGTTCTTGATGTGCTGGGGAACCAGTTCATCTCATTCATCAGAATGGGTGAGTGCTAAGAGTGCTATTTGTTTAAACTAGGTACTGGCGACTTTTTAGGTACAGGGACGATGGTGGCTGTCATGAATCAGGTGGGAACACTCTTCTGTGACAGCAATATATTAAAAATGTTAGTAATGACATCAGCTAGCTGGTTGGCCCCTTCTGAGTTACATGGCCAGGAATGTTTTCAGTCCCAGTGGCCTATATTAACTCTCAGCAGGATTTTCCTCACCTCTGCTGTGGATACTGACAGCGGTTGATCCTCTGGAGGCAGAGTAGACTTCAGAGCAGAGATCAAAACAGCCATAAAATGTGTTTAGCTCATCTGGTAATGTGACCTCACACATGATGGGGGCGCTCCTGCTTTTGTAGCCTGTGATGTTCTGCCACATATCTTTAGTGTTGTTGGTATTGAAGTCTCTCTCCGGTCTCTGCCAATCATCAATACATTTGCCAATGTGTGAGGTCACTGATGATGTGTATTTCTCAAGACTGATGTGGTTCTCCTGGGTGGCAGCCTCTTTAAACATGTGCCTATCTGTGCACTTGAAACCACTGACCGCTGCGTCTACATGCATCACTGTTGCCATGGCAAATATCTGTGAAACCACAACAAAGTGGCACAGTCATCCTCACTTCAATAATTCATAATTACTGCTTTAGTTTCTACAACTAAAACTTTTGCTTATTAGAATTTAAAACTACCTATACTGTGATAGATGACTCTACCCATATTGCCAACCACTAATACAACTCTACAGACCATCTTCATGGTGCACATTTGGAGTTGCTCAATACAGGTGTGGAAAATGTTTGGTAATCGCTGCATTTCATTTATCTGTGTCAGTGCCAGGCCGATGGTATTGTACTTAGTGGCACAATCTTTTTTATTAGTCTTACTTCCTTAAAACCGTGATCCTTTGTTACAAGAATCAGTCATTAGGGTCTCAGTATTGACACACTGTCTATTGTAGTCCCATTCCAGTCAGAAGGAGTTGCCCCATACATGGTGACTGTATCGATGTCTCAGCTGGAAGAAATTCTATTGAAAAGGTTATGGGAAGTAGTGGAGGGTGTCTGCAGTGTCATGGTTATCCCTTGATCCTACACAGAACGCTAATGCATTTATTTATTATTACGTTTTAAGAGGATTCATGGCTGCCCTTGACATTGTCTTTCCAGAATCTATCTGATTACAGATGCTATGCTAATCTATTTACAAATATAGGACTGCTGTTGCCAAGCGGCTTGGCTTCACTTCAGCGAGTCCCATTTGGCACAAGTCAATACCAAAACAGGAAGTCAATAACGTCACTCTCTCCCTATTCCCCAATTTCTCTCACTCCACTGCTTCCTGGGAGTAGACTCACCACACACACACACAAACACAACACACACAAACACAACACACACATTTTTTCTAAAGCACATGATAGACACACACACACACACGCACTCAGTAGCTCATAAACTCCCCCTTCCCCCGACTCTAGTGGAAATGCTTTTAACAGCTGCCTTTAGAATAAAGTTCCACTACACTCATGTATGTTCCCGAGAGAGCCACCCAGCCATGCACACACACACACACACACACACACACACACACGCACAATCCACCCAAACACCCCCCACAAGGCTGTGGATGTAATGAGGGCGTCCGGTACCCTAGCGGGGGCCCTGGCTCACACAGGAAATGGAGTAGCCAGATAAGGCTTTCTGCTGGTCAGATGAGAGGAGTCAGCGAGAAGAGAAGGCATGAACCTGACCAGCACCAAACAGAAGACTCGAAAGAAATCATAGATTCAAAATCTACCGGCTTCAAGCTGACTAGTATTCTCCCACACTAACTGTAAAATGAACTATGTACAGAAACAGTAACTACAGTCTATTTCTTCTGGTCATGTTGGATTTCTTATGGTTTGGTACCATTACAAAGGCTTATTTTAAAGGTTAAAAAAAAGAAAACAATAACGATTCTTGTTTTCAGGTAATTAAACACAGGAAACATAGTTATGCATTGCATTTTATATTCCATTTCTGCCAACAGAAGTGTAATGACCTTTGATGCGACCATACTGCTCAACAAAACCAAACCGCAGTAACAATTTTGGTCACAATTGAGTTATGACTGCAAATTAACTTTTAAATGTCTTTTTTATCTTGTGACAAGTTTTCTAAGTTCAGTGTTGCTCCATCTTAGAGAAAAATACAAACAATACAAATAAAATAATACTTAAATCCTTAATGACTCATCTATTTCAGCTTATTACACATGAATCAATAAGAAACACAGATTTAAGGTGATAAGATTTGGTCAGTCTTTGCACTACCTATATATCTGTTCATGCTAATACGCAGACAGAGTGCAGTATCTAACTGGTCATGGTTTTTGAGTCATAAAAATGACTTAGAGAATACATATTTAATAAGCACATAACCGCCGTTAAACATAAAACACACTTGGGTGGACAGTCCAAAAACGTTGACGCCATTTTTCTCAGCTTCACTGTTAGCGTAGTTACTGTAGTTAGGCTATGTAGCGCAGATAAGATCAGGATAAATGCTATATTTTAAACTCAATTGCCGGTTTATTATTAGGTACTTCTAGCTAAAACTTCCGTCCAGAAATAAATCCGACCTTCAGAAAGGCTATAATGTCCTCATAGACTGTGTTACTTTTAGCTGGGTGTATCTAACTTCCTACATTGTATATTTAGAGTACACTAATAAATATAAGTTCAACAATCCAGGTTTACTCAGAAAAGATTCAGATATGGTCTTTCAATCCAAAAAGTAAGCCAATTCTCCAGGGCCTGAATCCATGAAGCATAATACAGGTATATAATAGAGAGAGTGATTCTTCTGTGAATCAGTTGAGAAAAATTAGTCGATCTGCATCAATTCTAACAACCAAGTAATCATTTGAGTTGTTTTTTTAAAGCAAAAATGCCAAAGAAATCACTTACAGTTTCTCTGAAATGGAGTTTCTTAAATAACTTTAAAAGTGAACCATTTTGTGATGTTAAATCAATGTGAGATGAGGGGACACTGTGATGGCCATTTTTCAGATCAAACTTGATTGATTGAGAAGATAATCTGTAGATGATCAATTTCCTCACTTGGCCTGTACATAGAAAATAATCTCCCAAAAATCCAAAACTAAGTGATGTGAAAACTTGGTTTTACTTTTTGCCACTTTCAATTTTATACCAAAAATCTCCATAATGTATAAAAGGGAGAAACAAAATGGAAACTTTTGAAAAAGTTGACATCTTTTGAGACTTACATCAACATCTCACATTATAGCCATACTCTATAAACCCATGTAGGCTTTAACAGGACACATAAATGAAGAAAAAATGCATTTCCTATCCTCCATATTGACCTCAGTGTGTGAATGTACGCCTCATAAACATACATGTTACAGTTCACAAACATTTTTCATAACCACATGAGCAACTTTTAACAGCATAGTCCTGAATGAGCCAAATGTGGAACCAGACAACGCTTCCAAAAACCCACCCGGTGCAACACCACGGTCCAAATACCCCCAAACTAACATTTTATTCTACATCTACGGAGGCTGATAAAGGCTAATTCGGCCTGTTTCGCAACACTGGGGCCACAGGAGAGGAACTGACAGTGATGCAACCAGAGCAATAAAGCGGCCGACATCGATCCAATATTTCCGCTCCGCTTTTCAGGACCGTTTCGCAACAGATCCATTGCGCACTGCCGACGGTGAGCACACGCTGCACGACGAGGGCCAAAATACCTCCAGGGTTAGGGTTGGGGAGGGAGGGAGGGAGGGGGAGCGGGCGCAGGCTGGGGCATTTCTGAGGCGACTGCACGCAGAAAGCGGAAGGAAGTGTATAGCTCGATAAGAGTTTGTAAGGGGGCCTACCCGTTCTTCCTCCGGGCTACAAAGTAGCCTGCCATCCGGTCCCGGGATTCGTTTCTCTTCTGAGCCCGGCTCGCTACCTGAGTCCTTTTTTCCTAAAGTGGCAAGGTGACGGAAGATTCTGCTGTCTGCCTGTCTGTCCCTCGTGTACGTACGGGGGCTTTAGGGGTTGTCCCTGTCGCTCAAAGTTGATGGCATGTGAAACGCTACGGCGGCGAGATGAATGGCTCTCTTTCCTCTTGGTACCGTTTGACTGGAGGGGGGACAATTCCGGCTCGATCTGCTCATCCAAACTACACAGAAACCCCCGCTGATGTGTCAGATTTCGCCGAGGAGAAGAAAAAAGAAAGACGGAAGAGGAGAGAGAGAGAGCAGATGAAGGGGGGGAAAAAAAGAAGAAAAAAAGAGACAACACTTGAGCAGCTAGACGAGGCTTTTGCTTCGGCTCGATGAGAGCGAGGGTTCAGATCCTCATCTGCTGCTCCTCCACATTAAAAAGCCCTGAGAGCGATCAGAGGGCTACGGATGCCCGCTGACTCCTCCATGCCATGAATTGCAAGTTTTTTCGCCCTGGTCGTCGCCTTTATGTTGTGAGGGGGAGACACACACAGTCCTGACCAGTCAGAGACATTTGGAGGCTGGTCTTTTTTCTGCATGCTGCTCTTCCCCCTGGTGGTTAAGACCTGGAAATGACAAAAGCTCACGACCTCCGCCTCCATTCATAAAAATAGGAAACCAAACAGGAAAATCACCATTTTGAGTGTCAGTTTGCAGACTGGAGGCAGAGAGAGCGGCGGTGAGGTGCAGGACAGTCTGAGTCTGAGAGAGAAACAACTACAATAACCTAACGTTATACTTATCCAACTGAAGCCTCCTTCCTTCAAAGTGTGTGTTTGCAACTTCCCTTTAATGTAGGATTATATTTAGAGGTACACTTAAACGTTGTTTGAGCTGTAAACTAAATGATATATGAATGTACTATAATGAACCACATCAGTGTTGGTGTTAATTTACATTTTTAGAAAATGACTTTAAAAAAAGCCATTTCATGACTTGAAAATGGCTCAACACGCCACCTACTGTTGTAAATTAAAAAAAACCTTGAACCTTGCAAGGCCAATGCTGAATCGACCATTTGGGACTACTTTATGTGATGACATTTTAAAAAAACAGTGTTAATGCCCTTTAATGAGAGAAAGACACCTCCCCCAGATTCAGCTTGGAGTGGAAGTCTGAGCTCATTTTCAAATGTATGTTTGAGACGTAGACTTGTGCTGCAGAAACACCACCGGGCTGTAATCTTTACCCTGAACCCACACACTGACACTCATACTGGAGAGAGTTCTCTGAGCGGTTAGCTTAGGCTATAACACAGGTACCATCTGTGCCTGAATTGGACCAGTAAAGGTGAAAAAAACACTGTTGTAATAAGAAGTAAGGGAAGTTCTGGTACAAGCTGCCATGATTATGCTTCCAGTGACTGTAAAAGCTCCAGTGGACTCTCTCTGAGTCAGTCTGACAGTCTGTCAGTCATTCTGCTCGCTGTCGCAGCCACGTCCCCGCTAAAGTCACTGTTCTTTGCAGCTCTGATACATTTTTTAAATTTCCCAAGAGGGAGGGAGCTAGCAGAATCGACCTCTTTCACAGCAGCCTCTTCGACATGAAGCTTTAGTTAGGTTTGGTTAAGTTACATGAAGAACGCTCCCAGTCTTTTGCTAAGCTAAGCTGCTGTTGTAGTTTAATAAGTGCATTTACAAGCATGATGCATGCTTTTGTGACATCACAACCAGTTGAGAGACTGAACTGGAAAATAGCTGTTCAACTTTTGGAATCTAAAATATTTGCACCTTCAAACATAATGTACTTTTCGATGAGGGAGAAGCCGTTAAGCAGGTTTTTAAAGAGGCTTTATTCAACTTTTTGTGGAAACAAAACAGACTAATTATGTCTCGTGCATATCTGTATGTATCTGTATATGTATTGTTTGTCTACCACTGTAGTCTATATTTTAAATATAATTTGTGCACAGCTTTTTTATTAGCTATGTGTCTACATCACAGCAGCACTCTCTACATTATCACTCTATCACTGCCCATTACTAATTCATAAAATAAAGTGAGAGGAAATAACTAATAATAGGAGCAGGCCCTTTCGTAATAGTTGGTTGCAAGAATAGCAATTTAATTAGTGAAACTCTCAACTCATGCATCCCCCAGGCTGCATTATAATCCGGTATACTTTACAGGAATTGCATGACCTCATAGGAAACAGAAAATACCCGACAGTACGATAAAGTCACTGTAATATGACCCACAAACACACTGCAGGTCTCCACAGGAAGATTATAGGCTGCTGATATATTTCAGCTGGGAGGTTAGTTCAGTCAGGAGATTGCATTTCCTGCAAGACTATTGATGGCCTCTATCTCATACCTTGATATGTTTCTAATGAGACTGTTAAAGTAATCTGATGCAAAATAGGTAGAGTGTGTGTTTGAGAAGTTGGTAGGATCAATGTTGTTGTTAACCTTCGCATCACAGATGTCCTGTTATACCTATAGATAAAGATGGAAACGCCTTTTTGAAACAGTCAGGCTGTTTATTTTCTCGGACATCAAGTGTTTTTGTCACAAAAGGATCGGAAATTATAGGTACATTCACATGCTGTTTATAGAATTAAAAAAAAAAAATAAAATTAAAAAAACAGATCCCACAATAGGCGAACTGTAAATAATGAGGCGTGAGAAAGTCTGACTTGAAAACCAAAGGGAAATGGGAGTGGACAACAATAGACTTCCTGTTAAACCAGCTGACATCATGTCATATGGGAAAATGTGATTGGTATAGCCTTAGCCCTGCCCAACTCATGTAGGAAAACCACCCATTTAAGATGGAGACACTCAAGTTGCTTTGCCCGGGGGGGCCACTTTTGAAAAATGACAGGAGGCCAGGGGCCAACTAATCAACAAATAATATTTATCAGATTAAACGAATAAACATTGAGATTGCTGATGTGGCAGAATAAGATGACTTCAGGGTCGTAACCGTCTGATGTTAGCAATCTGTGGGAAAATAAATTCACATGTCCATTTCTCATTGAATATACCTATTAGACGTGGAACAGTAGGGTAAACACGGCGTTATCAATAATACTAATTAAGGCTGTGTTCCATTCAGATCAATCAGAGTCAGGGTGCTGCTGTTCCTCTGCTGGCTCACTGAAAAGGCTCTCCTACACTAAATAGAACAGAAGATGTTAAGGTCAATTAAAACATGATAAAGGAAATGAAATGTGTAACATTTAGGAGGGTCTTTGGGCAGAAATGGAATATAATATTATTTTCACTGCTAATTAATAAAATCAGAACAGCACTTTGAGGTTTTACAGGTTTGACATAAAATAATGTGTCAGTTAATGAAACATGTCAGTTGAGTCTTTGCTGCTGACTTTAGGTTATTGTCACCAACGTGGTATCATTTGAATCACTGTTTAGTCAGGTTAAGGTCAGGTTCAAGATTTTAAGAAACCCTTGCAACAACCCTGTGTGGACCCACCACTCAATATGCATCTCTTTTTTTTTTCTCTCTCTCTCTTTGTGTTCACCAACCACGTAGGCGAAACACAAATCTGCTTCCCTCCTTAAAAGTCTTGTGACAGGTTTAGAGAACAGAGAGGCCTAAAGTAACCGACATTGTATGTGTGACTGCGTGTTTGTATGTGTGAGACAGCGTTCTGAAAACTGCAGGTACTCAGTTCCTGGAAAGTGATCGGTGTTGCCGACTAATAGCTGAATTCTTGCAGTAACCACAGGCTTGAGTTTGCTCTCGTTGACAGGGCTCTCGGTTTAGGTGGTGACTCAATACGAAAGCAAAAACATCCGACTGTACTCGATGACAAACATCTTATTCTCAAATATTGTATGTGAAGAGTCAAACGCTTTTTGCAGATATTTGGCATGTGCTTTATTTGCGTACATACTTTATTTGTCACAGATGCAGTGAAACAATAGGAGATGAAGCCTAAAACCATATGGAAACATTGCTCATGTTGTGTTTTTATCACAAACCACATTCACACATCTAGTTTTCTTGTCTACATTAAAGAAGAATAGGAATCTGACCTGAAAAAGCAGATTACTACTAATTACTGTTATCTACACTTACTGTTATAGATTGTCAGTCTGTGATGTTTGATGCTTTCCAGGAGTTATCGTGTGACACGGTATTATACACAGTTTCCTTCAGCTGCATTCCTCCACTTCAGTGATCTAATGTTTCCCAGAATGAGTTTATAACAATCCCCACAGAAGTGTGGCGAATGTGTTATTTTCACCTGCCGATGTTCCGTGTAGGTGGTGACAGCAATTGTGATACCATCGTATGAGCAAGAAGAAAAGGATAAAACTGATTTTTTTTTTCCAGTGTAGGAAAAGCGAGTGGTGGCACATGACACAACACACCTGTCAGTTCCAGTGTATGCTACTGAGGCTGCAAGAGTGAGGGTCAAACACTAAATGCTGCACGGGATAGGTCAAAATGTTAGATATACTTATGGCACCAGAGGAAAAGCCAGGTGATCACTAAAGTCTATAGGCTTTATCCTCTTTACCATCATGAAATATTTAAATTTGGACCAAAGTGGTGGATTGACTGACCAACATTGCCATCTGTAGAGCCGTGCCACTAGTGGTTGAAAATAATTACGGCTGTTTTGTTTGTTTTTTACAATGTTTTTGGATGGATAGTTCCTTTAAAACGTACCACTACTAGCCTACCTCAGCTATCTGTAAAGTCATATTAATAATTAATCACACAAACTAGGCCTTGGTAGGTTTAAAAACTGTGGACCAAAAACTGTTGAAACATTAATTCAAAACTGTATTCTCACTAAGAACAGGGAAACAAAAGAAAAAAGAAAAACAGCTTGCCTCCCTTCCTCAGATATTGTAAACTACTTAATACACTCAAGTCCTGGTAAGGGAAATGACCTTCTGTCTCAGGTTGTGTTGGTTGGTACAGGTTGCTGAAACTAAGCTCACAGCCATGTCAGACACTTTTCCTGTTGAAGATTTCCGCCCAGCTCTTTGGTTACGCAAATGGCACAAGATGCTCAGTGCAGAGGGGAAGAGATGCACAA